TCTTTAAAGACATCAAGCAAGCAACTCTTCTGGGCTGGAGCCTTCCTGGCCACTTTCCTGGAAGAAGAGTGTTGTCGTTGTTCTGACTGCTCCGCAGCCCAGGAACCCTCACCCAACCCCAGGAGAATGAACTCCGAATTGGGCCCCTGGATCAGAGGTTGGCCCCTCACCCAATGTTGCAGTGAGAAATTGGTGTTTGTAAGGAAATTCAGCCCCTGCCAAGTCCCCCACACAGCTCTGTCTCCTCGAAGGGGCCACAGAAGAGGCAGGGACTGGGTCTCCTGGAATGACAGTAAGCAGGAAATGTGGGTATGCTGTGGGCAGCCTTCCGGATACTAAGGATTGCTCACCATCAGTTGCATCCTGAAGCACATCCACCCTGAACTTTGTCTCTGAACTTCTCTCCTCTCCTGTAGCTGGGATCTCCTAACTCCCTGATCCCTCATCACTGCTATGGTGTGTAGTGCTTAGGTTTCCCTAAAGGAACAGAGTTAATATAAAATGTATGTATAATTACACAAAAAATTTACTAGGTAGACTTATAGGATCAGAAGCAAAAGATTCCCAGTGGCCATCTGCCAGATCAGAAGTGGAAGAATAAAAAACGGCCCTGTGCCTGCTGAAAGGCAGGGACTCAGTGGAAAGTCAAAGGTCTGAAGGTCATTAATGAGTCCAGGAAGACTCTGAGTCAGAAATCTGAAGGGTCTGTGTTGGAAGGCTGAAGACTCTGCACTGGAAACCCGAGGGAACTAGAGATCAGCATTCAAAGGCAATGGTGACCAGAACTCCTCTGGATAAGAAAAGGGCAGGCTTTCTCTTCATTCTAGGATGAATCTACCCTCCTCAGCTGGAAGCCCTACATGCCAGTCATCCACAAATACACACAAACCTTTACAGACCTGCTAGGCAGTTCTTATGCACATCAGGTTGATATAGCATAATTAATGACAATAACATGTGAGAATCTCGCGGTCTCCCCTGGAGGATGCTTGGCAAAAAAGGAAGGAAGGAAGGGGCTGGGATCTCAGTGATACTACACCAGCCTGTCAAGCAGGAGGTTCAATTCTTGGCACCAAAAACCAAAAAAAGTTAAAGCAAAAAAGGAAGGAAGCCGGGGACCTAGAAAGGAGAAAAGCCAGTTTCAGGCCAGTGGTCACAGACTATGGGTAGCCAGACCTCCTTTCATTGATCCATTCAGTTACTTGTGCAAGGCCCCACATGCCTCAAAGTAAAGTAGGCTGTGAGTGGTCCAAGGACTTCCTCAAGTGAAGGCAGAGCTGGGAAGTGAACTAAGTCCATGGGGCTCTTAAGCTGCTACAGGGGTCTCTGGCTTCATGCCCACCTATGGGTGTCCTGGGGAACTTTTGTTCCACCTGCCTCACTTCCCTGCAATTCCTAGGCTGGGCCTATGTAGGACCACGGTGCCACCGGCTTCCTGGGGCTGAGCTAACATTCAAGTGCCCACTGTATGAGGTTAGAAGGGACTTCATGCTCCCTCTGCTTGGAGTTCACTGGGCACAAGAGAAAAGCAAAGCCAGGTGAGGAATGGAGACAGTAAGCTGGAAACTGAAACTGAACAGGTCATTCTCAGCTAGAGTTTCAGTGTAGCCTCCACGAAGAGCACTGATTCAGCTTCCAAAGCCTGCAGAGCAGTGAAGCCCCACCCACTTTTATCCAACACTGATATCCTGAGTTTTCTGAGTCAGCCACACCCCCTCGACTAAACTCAGCCACTCCAAAGCCCTCTTCTAGAGCTCAGTACCAGGTTGGTACCTGTGGCCTAGATGCAGTGGTGGCTTCTTTCATTTCCTATTCTATTCTTTTGTTACCCTTGTTTAGTAGGTGGTCTCCTGTAACCAGTTCTTTATATGAAGTATATCTGTCATCTTCATCGTGTGGGGCAGTGTGAAAGAGGAAGTACACTGTGGTTATAGGTAGAACATCCGCACTTAAGAGGTTCTAGGGCAGTGATGGCGAACCTTTTAGAGACGGTGTGCCTTAACTTCAACCCAAAACCCACTTATCAATTACAAAATGCCAATACTGCGATTAAACCTGAATAATGCAGTTTTTGTTTAGAAAAAAAAACAACTCTACCTTAACATCTGTTGTTTTAAAAGGAAAACAGAATACTATGTGCGCCATAGGTTGCCACCACTGCTCTAGGGGCTCAGCTGAAGGAGAAGTGACCCAGGCACATTCCTGCGCTTTGGTAAAGGGAGTCTAGTGGCCTTGGGCTAGAGTTTCCTGTTACAGTTGGAAGCACTGAAGGCTTGGATCAACACTTCATTGAGAAAGTGGTCCCAGGACAAGGCCATTTGCCTCTGAACATGGGGGAAGCCAGCTCGGGGACTCTCAGGTGTTCTAGTTGTCCTTCTGAAGCCTCTGAGCTCCATCCCATCACTACACAGGTCAGACAATTTATACCCAGAGATGTCCTGCCCAACTGTCCTCACTGTCCTGTGGAATAGCATCTGAGTCAGGACATGTGACATCACGGACCCTGGCAAGGACATGGGTGAGAAGGGAACCTCTTTAGGGTTGCTGAGCACACACCTCCAGGAGTCCATGTACACTTTCTTTCTGGGGTCAGAAAACTGCTTAGCCACTCTTATTTTCTAGTTACTACTTTAGCTTCTAATTGCCATATAATATTTCAAGCTATTTCCCCAAGTCTCAAAGGAGGTATTTCATACATATATGATATGTATAACTAAGAAAAAAATACTAAAGAGAGCATCATTTTCAATATTATGCATTTATTCAAAAGTACATAACATTTTATCCCTCATTTATGTCACAAAAACAAGGTGGCAGAGGATCATAATCTGCATACATTTTGCATTCCTAACAGAAATGTATGTTGCGGCAAGCTTCAACAGCAGCAGTTTCAGCCAGGATGACCTTGTCCTTGGTGTTGGCTGAGTTAGCCTCAAGATCACATTCCTTTCCATCCCTTAAGCAAAGACATATGCAAAGCACAGGCTTAGAAGTTTTCTACTCAGTGTGTTTCATATAATTCTCAGGGCTCTTTCAAGTTCAAGGCTTTAGCCAACCGCGCACATGACACCAGCCCTGGATTATAGCTCCCAGCCCCTGTACTGAATTCTTCTCTCATCCCTTCCTCTCCTACAACTGCTGAACATGTAAACTCGGGTTACAAAAGTAAGGGAGAGTGACTTGCAAGTGGGCATTACCTACCTAGTTGCTGTAGGCCTTGAAAATGCAGGAATAAGGAGGAAGGGGCTAAACCTGGCTGTGTCCTGAGCTCCAGGGCTCATCTAACTCCCTAGAATGGGGACACCACTGCTGCTGTCAGTCTGTCCCATCTTTTGGATCCGCTCCCCAAAAAAAGCACTAGTTGCTGTCACAATGTTAAGAACATTCTACTTACTAGTTTACAATCTCAAGAAAAAAACCCAAACTCCTGTAGCCACCCATCTTTGCCTTTAATCTGCCTGTGGTTCTTGACCTCACCTAGGGCACGTCACCATTAGCAAGGACTAGACCCTGCTCAGGCAGATGGTGTACCATTTCAGGAGTGTCATTCACTCTTATCCCCAGGACTCACTTCAGTGCCTTGGACAGTTTGACATAAAGACAGATGACAACGCCTGTTAGCACCAACATGCCCACCAGGATCCCGCTACCAATGATGACTAGGATCATTGTCCGGAGGTCAAAAGTCGCAGACATACCTGGGCCAAGAAATACAGAAAAGCAGTGCAGGTTACCTCCCTCCCCCAACAGGAATGAGAAGCCTAGAGAAGGAGTAGAGTCCAAACGTGGATCTTTATATTTGTGAACCTCCAGAGAAGCTTCCCAGGGAGAATTTACAGCACCGTGAAACTAAGACACAAAATTTCTAGAGAAGGAAAACAGAATAACAGAGAGTGGAAAGAATATTTACCTTTCAGAGGCAGTGATGTGACTTTATGTAATAAAAAGGCTTACAGTACAAAGTCCCGGTCCCTGGAATAAATAAATAAATAATTTACACGGGGAGCTAGTGGTTTTACTCACAGACACCTGGATTTCCTAAACTATGTTCATACTCAGTCAGAAGTGACCACTCTCGGTCCATCAGGCTCAGGGTCTCCTATGGGGATGACTGCTCCAAAATGGTATTATTCCAACAATCTCCAAATCCATTTTGTAAATGTTGCAAGTTTTAGGATGGAAAAGTTTTAAATTTTTCTACTAAAAACTGCTGTCATGCTTCTAAATCCTAAGTCTTGAACCCTCCCAGGAAATTCAATTTTTAGTAATCACTTTGCTTAGTCTAACTCTCTTAAACTGGGGAAACGTGAATAAGGGGAGTAGAAAGAACAATCTGACTGCCAAGGCATCCTTACTACCTTCTAACTGTTCATGGCTGGATGAAGGCCGAGGTTTTAAAAATATACAGTTAAAATGGACTTTAGGAAAACAGAACATCTTACCGATAGTTTCTTCTACCTTTAATTTCAAAGGGAGGATTCCAATTATTAAGATTCAAGTTGAAGAATTAATTTTCAGAAGCGTATTCCTCCACCAGAGTAGGCAGAAAGCCACTGTTCGGGCCAACGCCTACACCAGTCAGTACCCAGGCTTTGTGACATCACCTCTCTCTACAGCAACTCCCTCTGTGGAGTTCTGAATTCTAGTCCATGCTCAGATATATATTAGCACCAATGGAAACAAATGATATGAACATGACCTTAAATCATGTAATTCATAACCTCTCCTTTTTGGATTTTGTTACTTTCAGAGAAACTTATGGTTTGACTACTACTTGAAAGCAAATGTGAGCTGGATATAGTGGCACAAGCCTGTAGTCTCAGCACTCGGGAGGCTGAGGCAGGAGGAGTGCCAGGAATTTGAGGCCAGCCTGAACTACACAGTGAATTCAAGGCTGGTCTGAGCTATGTAGTGAGAACTTGTCACAAAAAGCAAAAACAAAGCAACAACAACAAAACCAACTGTGGGATTTCAATCATTTAAAAAAGACAATAATAGCATTGCGTTTAGCTCAGTGGTGCCACCACCTGCCTTGCAAGAGTAAGGTCCTGAGTTCGATATCCAGTACCCGGAAAAAAAAAAAAAAGACAATAACATGGGAGGCAGATATATAAACACATATCTAAAAAGTCAATGAAGCAAGACTAGTTAGACTTTATATTTTACCAACAAAGTAAAATAATGTGTAGCCATTTAAGGGTATTCAAATATAAATTCACTGGCATCATCCCGTACATTAACACAAAAAAACTCATAAACATTACTGGATTAGGATATGTGTTTTAGCCAGGTTTCTATTATTTATAGGTAGTTTGACCAAGCAAAGCCAACTCAGTTAAATGAGGGAGTTATTTCAACTACTACAGGCAATTCTATGCTGCTCTGGCAAAAACATGAATGAGGTCATGAACAGCAGAAAAGATTTCAAGAAAATGGTAACACAAGAATCTATGAAAATTTTCTCCACAAAACAATGAAAAATCTCGCAAAACTTTTTCAGAGTCAGCTTTTTGAGAACTCTGAAAAACAGCTAAAGTCTTGTAGCATCCCATAAAGCATTTTTTCAAGAGAAACAACCAACGTTCAGTATAAATAGTGAAGTTTGTGACACAGTCCAATAACTCACCCTTTAGCTTCATGGTAGCCTTGAAAATAACTCATATTTCAATGCAGCCCCCAGAGGAACAGGAAAAAGTTAGAGCTCTTTCAAAGCCTTCTTGTCAGAGAACTGTCATCATTTGACCTATCTGCTGGTTACCTGAAAGACTTCACCTCACGACTGTATTTGACCTGACTTAGAGACCACCCAGTGCAGTAATCCTCCCTAGAGAGGTTTGGGAAAAACGCTTGAGGTCAATTGATTTAATTTCCTGGCTGCATATGGTGGTGGATAACATTTGAGACAAATGATTAGCTCAAAATCTTAAAGGAGAAGCTGGGGGATGAGATATCCCCATACAAAAAACTACAGTGATGATTTCTGAAAGGTTCTGGCATATGCCAGGTTGTCTACAAAACCACGTTTCCTGTTTAGTTATTGCTTTTACTAATAAAGCGGGGATGCTAACAGTATTACCTATATCATAGCCTTTCCATAAGGACTCAAATCTATCAGAGCCAGTGCTGGACACCTTGTCATCACTAAATAAATATCAACTATTATCACCATCATGGTGATGTGGTTGTTCCTACCACCTGTAAGAACAGCGGGATTCTTTTCATAGAGATTCCCCAACCTTAGCAGAACTCGCCTTCCTCATTAGGCAAAAGGCTCCATTTACTAAAGTTGAAAGTTAATTCTGATTATTTCATTTTCTGTTCTTTCTATTGCCCAATCCTCACAGGATTATGGCACTGTAGGCCCCTCCCAGCAAACACCTCCCACGATGATCCTGCAGCTTCATTTGCCTGCTAGAGACCCCAGTTGGCGCCGACAAGCAGCTACCCAACCCCAGTGAGCAGGGCTCCACCTCCCACATCAATGCTTCATACATTAGCCATTTGGCTAATCCCAAACTGTTCTTCCACTGCATAAAGTAAGCCAGAAAAATGAGTTCTCCTTGGAGCCTTGAGGAGACAACTCTACAGAGTTAATAAAAGCAAAGTGCATTAGTCATGTTCCCATCACTAAGACACAATACCAACAACCCTCAACTGAAAGGATAAGAGGCATATTTTGGCTCATGATTTAGTCCACATTTGGCTAGCTCCAAGGCAGAAACAGGATGGTAGAAGGGCCTGGCAGAAGAAGACTCTTCAACCAAGGGCAGCCAGGAAGGACGGGGGGTTTGGAGAGAGGGATATGGAAGCAGATATACTCTCCCAAGACATACCCCAGAGATAACTCCCAACTATCCCCACCTCTTTACATCACATTTAGCTATGAGCTCATCAGTGGATCAACCCACAACAAGAAGATAATGTATTAGGGACTAAAGATAGCTCATGCCTGTAATTCCAGATCTCAGGAGACTGAAGCAGCAAAATCATGAGTTCAAGATCAGTTTGAGCTACACAGACAGTTCTAGGCCAGCATGGATTACACAGCGAGACCCTACTTAAAAGAGGGCAGGGTTGGGAGGGGGGATGCTGAAGAAAGATGAGTTCAGTAAAAGTATCTTTAATTGATTTTTTTTAAAAACACTTGATAATGAAACTTGATGTCTTAGTTACTCCTTCCTCGCTGAGACATAATACCCAACATCCACAAATCAAAGGAGGAAGGGTTTATTTTGACTCACAGTTTGTAGAGGTTTCAATCCCCAGTCAGCGGCTCCAGGGCAGGCTGGTGTGATAGAGGAGCAGAAAGAGAAATGGGGGAGGGGAGAAGGTGCATCCTCCAAGCCG